TCCTGCTCTAAAAAGATTAACTCTGAAGTATGGAAAGACTCAAAACTGTTGTGATATAGCTGCAAGGAGTCTGCAGAAGAAATCAGATGAGGAACAAGAAGCTGGGGGAACATCAGGGTGATGTTTGGAGAGCTCAAAGTGACATTTTGTGATGGAGGGAATGGTGTTTTATGGGATCCACTGCAGGATGCAAAGCAGGATGCTGAGCAACTTTGCCCTCTGGAAAGGTACTGAAGCAAAACTTCAATGAGTTTGTATGAGCTCAAGGACAGGAATATAATACAAAACAACCAATGTGGATTTGTTAAAAATGAATCATATCAAACCCATCCAGTTCCCTCCCTTGATACAAGAGCGAAGCAGAGAAGAAGGAAGCATTTGTGTGATGCATCTTGACTTCGGTAAGATGCCTGACACAGGCCAACATGACGTTCTTATTAGCAAACTACAAAAACGCAGCATAGAAGAAGGGTCTCTGGCGGATGGTGTACAACTGATTGAAGAAACTACATTCACACACCTGGTGTTAGTTTATTCCTGTCAAACTCAGAGGATATATTAAGTGAAGTCCTCTAAGGGGCTGCACTATTCAATACTTTAGTTTATGACTGAGGTGACAGAAAAGAGAATAGTTATGAAATGTTTGGAGAACACCACATTGTGGAGAGAGAAACAAGTGTTTTGGAAGGTGGTATTAGAAGTCAAAACTGCGCTGTGTGTGGAGATGATGCACACAAGTGGCAGAGCTTTGGTTGGGGATCTGACCCTTCGTGGCACTAAGCTCAAGCCATCAAATACAAATGACATGCACAGATCTTGTTGTTGGACAATGGCTCTGTTACCGCATGTGATCACTTGATATCTTGCTGCTAAGATCATTTTTCCCGCTCACCTGCTCACCAGGTTGGCCACGGCTCCCTGGGTCACCCTGAAAAAACACAAGCAAGAGTTTAACATTGCAAAGACTCTTTCGTAAGAACACTTTCTCATTAGTAAAGTGTGTCCTCTATTGTCCTGGCCCATTTTGTTCTACCTACTTCCCACAAGGCACTGAAATTGCCTTCTTGATTGCTAGGCAACCCAGGCTGGAGGGAGCAACACAAGGGCCAGGTCAGATCTCCCTGTACATGTAGACTTGAGAGAGGAGCATCAGATGGGGATTGGTATTTTGGAACCCCATGAACTCTGAAAGACAATGAGCTACATCTGCTCATCCACTTACACCTCCAATTTTAGAGGAATCTTACTGTCCTTCCTGCAGTATAAGACCTTCCAAAATCACATCTTGATTGACTCAATGGCTACATTGAGTCTTGAATAAACTTGAAATAAAATTCCTTACCTTAGGACCAGCTTTTCCAGGAAAGCCTCCCTCACCCTTTTCCCCTTGTTCTCCCTGCAAGGAACACAAGAAGTTAATATACAAACTCCTCTGGTAGCACAGGCAACAGCAAGGAATATTTTGACTCAAATCTTCAGTATTAGACTGAGGATGGAAAGGGAGTCATGTGAAAATATGGTTCCGAGATGCTTTTCCATTCTAGCGCTGTTTGTAATCACATCTCCAGCACCAATCACCCTACCAGAGTATTTCTGGAATAACACAAAGTCAATCACTGTTACATTAAAGGTGTCCATAGTGAATTACCTGAAAAAAAATCACTACATTTAGTTTCTTCAAACCATATAGGGTGAAGTCTACATTATTTCCGTTAAGAAAAATAACTAACTGTGGGATTGGGACCATGGCCACTGGGCCTTTTAGGTACGTTCTTTGAAACAGATCTTTCAATGCAGAGGGTGTCAGGGTGGAAAGCAGAGGCTGGAATGAACTACATAGCTGAGAAGTGCAGCAGGTACTACACAGGGCTGGGATGAAACCTAGTGTTTATTTAGCCTCAGAAATTTGTTAATCCCTCACCTTTATTCATCAGTAAATGGGAGCTGGAGACTCTGCTAGACCTTGGGCTCAAGCATTCAGTGCACTCAGTTGAGAGAGGCAAGTATAAATGTTGTGTATTACTGGAACAAGTAGGGGTCATAGTGCTCAAGTATCAGAGGCATGAAGACCACTGGCAATGCAATCCAATGCAGTAGATGTTTAAGAGCTGTTGTGCTTATTCCAGTATAGTGTCATCATCCCCAAAGCCTAGCTTGGCCTGCATAGTCAAAATATGGAACGTTTCTTTGACGCTTATTTAAGTAGTGATGGCAAGACAATCATTATATCTCCTACCTCTAAATCTCCTATCTCCCTTCTCTCCCTGCAGAGACAGCAGAGGAGACAATTACTGCCAATCTGTCATTTGCAGAAGCTTTTGAACAGGGACAAGAAATAGGAAATAAAGAAGAATTGGCTTTCTGTCACACAGACCTACAGAAGCCATAGGGGGACAGTATCTCTTCTTTCCAGCCCTTCGGAAAGGAAATAAAGGAACATCTTTGAAGCCTGCCACACTTTTTTGTTCGTCTTTGTGCCGTGGACACATACCTTGTCTTCCCAGTGTTATCGGCTTTCCTGAATGACAGTAGAAGCTTCTCTGTTTGCGATGCTCAGCTGTGTTTGCCAAATAGGATGCAGTAATTGAACACTGGAAGAGGATCTCCCATCCTTACTGTATTTACAACCAGCTCCATCTTCTTAATGACTCAGTACGCAGTCACACCAGGAGCTTCACCAGTGGCTCAGTGATGTGGGATTGCTGAGGGGGTGCTTGGCTTTAGAGATGTGTCCCCCCTCCCACCTACACTTGCTAGCTCGCTCAGATAATCTGCCCAGATAAGTAGCTTAATACCAGTGTAGGCAGTGTCACTTGCCTTTTGACCTGGAAGCCCAGGAAGCCCATTCAATCCATCTTTGCCAGACAACCCCTAAACAAGAAAGAAAAAGCTGTAAGTGCCTGTTCTTTGAATCATTAACAGCAAGATCAGCATAAGCATGCTCAGTCCACCCCTCTTGCCACTCACCTAAGTTTAAGAAGAACCGCCTCATGCAGTTTGCTTTGACTTTTCCCCTACTCTGACTCAAAACATACAAAAGTTCTTACGATGTGCATTATCTCCTCAGCCTGTTTTCCAGTGTCGCAGTTTTGATAAATGACCACTGGATGTCAGTGTTGTTACAGACAAGCAACACTAAAGAGCCTTTTTTTGTGCACTGTGGATTCTTAAATAACTTTTTAAATTACATTTTTATTTTTAAATATATATACTTTCACTTTGTAAGTCTCTTATCTGTAACTATAATGATTTTCAAAAAGTCTATTTCTCCTTTTAAATATTGGTAATTTTTTATACAATACATAGACTCCAAAAATTGAATTATACAAAACACAGTGACAGAATTATTCAGCAAGATAAGAATTACAGTTACTTCCTGTAATGCATTTAAAATGGTGAGAAACATCCCTGTCCCCTTCCAAGTGCCAGTCAATCCCCACGTACCACAGGCTGTCGTGACACTTCCTAATACTAACTATTTAATAATTCATCTTTCTTGACTTAACAGCCAACAGACATTTTTATGCTAAATCTGAGATTTTGAGAGTTCTTTGGCCTGATTCAGAGAGCTCCAGGTTTGGAAGAACAATATCTTGCCAAATGCAAAATGACTTTTGATAGGTATCATACAAAGTAAACATGATGGTCATCAGTGTGTAGGAATAGCGGAGCTCCAATAATCTTATTCACAAAAGACATCAGAGGCCGATGCCTGCATTAAAGGTGGTAGTGTTCAAGCCCACATTAAAACCTGGCCTGCAGAGAAGCTGCAGGAAATGAAATAAAGACTTGAGAACTGGAGTATCTGAAGTCAAGGGGAGCAACAGGGGCAAGGGAAGCAGTTCCCTAACACTTACAGGTGGTCCTGGTGGTCCAGTTTTACCAGATACTCCAATCTCTCCTGGCAGCCCCTGGAAAAAGGAATTGGAAGAAAAAGGATAAGGATCATTATTTCTGTCCTTTGCAGCAACCCAACTTTAAATTTAAATGCAATTTTCGCTCCCCAGCAGTCAGGTCTCTGCTGTGGGGAGGCCTGTAGACAGCGACTTATCCCCAGGGAGCACCAAATGGTTCCAACGCACAGAGAAGCTGTCCTGTAGGACCAGCTGTGGCTTCCCAGTGAGAAAATACAAAAGACACATTGCCAGAGGTCATGGCCTAAAATCCTCCAAGGCTGTTTTTAGTTTTCCTTGACATAAACCAAAACCCAAGCTTGTTTTCTTACTGGTGCTCCAGGAGGTCCAGCAATGCCTGAGGGCCCTGGAGGTCCCTGTAAGAGATGAAGCAAAACCAGTTTATCTTTGTGATAGTGGCCGAAAGCCTCGGGTCCTTTCTTGTGAAGTCAGAGCCCTTCTCAAAGTGGGCAAAAGCACTAAGCTTTATTTCATTAACTTCTAACAAACAAGAATGTAAGATGCTAAACTGAGCTCCAAAGGAATCATGCTCATGAGCAGAACAGTATCTCTTGCTTAAGCCACTAAGTACTGCTGTTGTAAGGTGAGCTCCATCCTTCACTCTAGTAGAAGAGATGGAGGAGTTGAAAGCCATAAATGAAAACAAAGTTTGTCCAGGGGGATCTCTTGTAGCATCCTGCCTAATTTAATCTTGATTAATGTTGTTTCAAAGTGAGCAATTTGTGTCTGCAAAAAGATCTCTGAAGTAACTAATGAATGAAACAGGTTTGTAGTGAGGGCAGGGGCAATATGAATCCAAGAGTATAGAATCATAGAATGGTTTGGGTTGGAAAGGACCCCAAAATCATCCAGTTGCAACCCCTTTCCATGGGCAGGGACATCTCACACTAGACCATGTTATCCAAGGCTCTGTCCAACCTGGCCTTGAACACTGCCAGGGATGGGGTATTTACCACTCCTCTGGGCAGCCTGCCCCAGTGCCTCAGCACCCTCACTGTAAAGAACATCTTCCTTAGATCTATCCTGAACTTCCCCTGTTTCAGTTTGAACCCATCACCCCTTGTCCTTTCACTACAATCCCTGATGATCAATGTACTGAATCGAGTGTTTCAAAACAAATGCACCACCATTATACTGCTTTACTTTGTTGGTAGTAAAATATCCTCACAAACTCATACTTCAATGAGCACATTCAGTTGGAAATATCTTAAAGGTATTCATTACTCATGTCCCTTCAACAGCTGTTCTCTCAGGGAAAACAGTCTCTCAATACTCATTTGATTTTCAGAGGGGTTTATTTTTGTGTATTGAGCAAATTGTTAAATTTGGCTTCCTAGATGAGAAATTTGTTTCCATACTCGACAAATCTTAACAGGTTGCCTGAGATGCAGAGGTGTTTGTTACTTCCAGCTTCCACTGTAGACAAGACAGGAATTTTCCTGTGCTCAGAATGGAGCATGTGTTCGTGTGGTTTTTGGATTGGGACCTAAGCAAGCAATATGAGGATGGATGTGAGAAATGGATATATGTGACTGAGTTGGATTTTTACACTGTCTGCCTCTCCTGTTTTTCTAACAGGATGATTTCATTCATTTTCAGCTTTCAGCATAGTTTAGGAGAGTTCTGTTGTGTTTGTACTTAAAAAACAGCAACACCCCTCACTCTCCTCCCAGTCCTATATAAAGAATTGAAACTGAGCAACTGATACTAAATAGAAAATGGCCAGTTGGAATGTCAGCATTCAATATCACAAATCACAGCTTTTGTGATTAAGGTATTAAGAGCCATGGATCAATATTAGTATTTCACATTTAAGGAAAAATGTAGCTCAAAAGAAGACAACAGTGTAAAAAGGTGATGACAAGGAAATATTTGTGGCATGGTTTGAGAGAGAAGGTAGCAGATAAATGGTCCTTTTAGAAAACACTTGTAATATTCAGCCAGAGAAGATGAGAGCCTCTCACCAATAGATGGGGCAAAGTGACCAAAAAAGAGACCTGCAGATGCACTTGCCTCCCATGAACTGTTTTCATTGCAGCTCAGAACATAGATTCATCCGACCAACATTGACATTTGTAAAGTGCCTCAAATGTGAGCACATGTGATCCCCATGGGATGCACTGATGCTGCTCTTGAGGAGCCCCGAATCAGCTTCTGGGGACATTGGTCCAGTTGCTATTGCAGGAGTTAAGGAGCTCTAGTCCCATCAGCAGGCACCTGGTTGAGACCAGCCATCACTCTAAAAAGGTTTTGCCATTCAAAGAAAAGCATCAACAGTCCAAATTAGCCCAGCACAAGAGAAAACACCACACTGTAGACACAACTGGGTGGAGTGACCCTCAGATACCATGGAGGTTCTGCTTGGCTCTCTACATGGTATTGCTGAGAGGGCCTGCAGACAGCTTCTATCAAGAGGTGAAAAACCCCAGCCAGGACTCAGCCTCAGCACCCTGGCTAAGCACAAGCATCCCCAAGTATAACCCAAGTTACCCCACACAGTACAGACAGGGGTTAATCTGACCTAAAACCAAAGTCTCACTCTGTCAGCACCTATCCACAATCAGCATAATCCTTGAAATGTGAGGTGCTACATCCTCCTCATCCCAACTGTTTCTCCTAATAACTCTTGATATTCTCACTATCCAATTTCTAATTCTTCTATTAACATTCCTACATTCTGAACCATAATAACCATACGTAACCATAAATCTTGACATGGAAGCACACTGATCCTTACCCTAAATTGCCAAACATTATGCTGTTTTATTGCTCTCCATGAAGCAGTCACCCAGGACATCATGCCCAGGACTGGTTTACTCAGGTAGCTTCACCATATGTTGCATCAACAAATGTTACAGCCACTAAAGGAAAGTTCTGATAAAAGCCACTCTGAGATGGACATAGGAGGAACAGTTTTACATAATGGCCACCAGCATCCCTGGGAGATGCACAGACACAGAGTAATAAAATCGCACGATCACATGAGAGTTGCAGAAATACATCATACATGTCCTTTATAGAGCCCTCCCTTCTGCTATTGGCCAGAGCATAACCAGTTTTACTTGTATATACATTTTGGGTTTTGTAGCCCTTCTCCTGACTTCTAAGTATACTTCAGAGCAAGGACTACTCTTCCTAAATATTTAGAAAGGACTAAACTGACAGCATTTTTTTGTTATTGAAATAACCCAAACCCCAACCAAACATAAAGTAGCAGGAGCGGGACAGCTTGTAATGCTTAACCCCAAAATCTCATGCCGTCTGTTTTCTTTGCTTCCTTTTTTAAACTGAATCCAGATTAAAGTACCTTATGTAAACAGTCACCTTTTCCAGAGATCATCTGATGAATTACACAGATGAGAGTCCCTGTCCCACTTCCAGTCTCAGTGTTGTCCCTTTAAAACTCTGATCTGGCTGGTAAAGAAACTGATGCATGCTTCATAGAATCATAGAATGGTTCCTACATGCCAAAGCAAAAACTGATATACGAAAACTTTACTCTAAAGCAGAACTATACGAAAGCTTTGGAAAACAAATGAAAAACATGGATCTTTGACTAAAATGTTAAATCAAAGCATTTTCAAACTGTTGCTTTGAAAACAGAAGATTTCAAATAATCATTATAATTCAAGTAGTGTTTAGAGGTATGTGTGTCATGGTTGGGACATCTTGCCTGGAGACATGGTGGATGCGCCATCCCTGGCGACATTCAAGGCCAGGTCAACCTGATCTACATGAAGATGTCCCTGCTCATTGCAAGGGGATTGGACTAGACGTGCTTTGAAGGTGTCTTCCAACCATAGAATCTATGAGTCTATGATCTTTAAGAACATTGAGGGGGATGTGTGTGTTTCATCAAGCTCCATTCCTTGGGCAATGTAACCCAGGGACAGTTCTCAGGAAAGAAATCGGACACTCCATTTCTGAGGAACAGCTATGCCTGTCCTCCAGGATCCACTAAAGGATGTCCTCCTCTTCCAGCATTGTACCTTGCTGAAAGACAAGCTAGAAAAGGCACAGTTATTAAGTTCTGCACTCCCTAAGGAAGCTCTGAAAAGGAACAAAACCCTTTTTCTGTGAATACATCAGTAGGCTGCTTGGCCTAAATCTCTTTTCCATGGAAAAAGGGATGGCTGTGTTTTAAAGGGAGGTGAACAAATGCCATTCCGTGATGGAAACTGAAGTCTGATGGCTTTTCCAGATGTATGTCTCTGGAGGCAAAGCTCACACAGACATATTTTCTGTACACTATTCCATGCCACTGGTAGGATACTGTTACACTATGAGAAAGGCTTAGATAAGCTCTTAACCCATGTCAAAGCATGCTGTGGTCTGGGCTTCTCAGGCAGTGTGCCAGCTTTATGAACAAGAGCCTCTGGGACATACAGGAGCATCTTGTCTGCTGCCAGTGACAGCAAAATGCATAACCACGGCACTGACAACCTTTTCCCTCCAGTGTCTGTGCTTGTCTCCAATTCCAATTACTCCCTGCAATTTCACCTCTCAGAAGGTCCTCACAGACCCTTTCTATTGGCTTTGAGTTGTCTCCCCTTTATTTCCACTTCTCCCCAGTCAGAAATGAGGCCACTGCAGCAGTTTGGGGGAGCAGTCCACGTCTCACTATGTCGTTTGCTACACCATCTTTCCATTTCTACTCTGCTGCATCTGAGCTGGTTCTGGGATCAGCTCCTCAAATCTGCTCTTCATTTCTCACCCCAGGTGCTACAGTATCCATCAGCACAACTACTGTGAATTATCTTCAGTAATGCTGCATTAGAACACCATATTGCTCTTCGCTTAAATCCTGCCTTACAAACCAAGACAAAGATAAAAGCATATAGAAAAAGGCTGTTGCTGATGACACTAAAAACCTAAAGCCTAAAGAAACAACAGATCCAAGCATTTACCTGTGAAGCATGTTCTATAGTCACCTTCAGTCATAGTGCCATAATTCATAAGCAGATGAGGTCTCCAGGTGGCATCGTAATTGGAGCAACATTATTGTAAACCCCAGAGATTTCTCAACAAAAATTCTCTGAACTGCCTTTCTTGCTCTGTAAAAGTACTGAATAAAGTTGACTTTGTGCTTAGCAGCCTCTCCAGGAGAATTTCTTGCTCCCACTGAAAGGCAGTTATTGTTTAACTTCATCACTTAGCATAAGAATTGGACATGGTCTCTTTTGTCTGCAGAGGAAGGTTTCTTTTCCTGTGTGTTCACTTTCAGTTGGTTTACTGAGTCAGTGCAGCATAGGAGAAAAACTACAAAACCCCCTCCCTTATGGTCTTCTTTTTCAGTGTTATTAGTGAGCTGCACAGGTGAAGGTGTTATTTTTGTTAAAGGCGTACATCTTATTAAAAATAGCTCTGAGTAATATCTTCCAATTTCAAGCAGCTCTGGCATAGTTGGAATTCAGTCTAAGCTTGCAGCTGGGGCCTGTATCCTTGTCTTACATTGTGCAGTATTAACTTGCATTACAAAAAGGATGTTAAGGACAGCATGCATTTCAGACGGTATAATTTATTTCCTGAATTACTTAAGAAAAGCTGGGCTTGAGCTCACACCCTACAGACAAGTCTATACTAATTAAATCACTGCCAGCCATGACTATAAAAGGTACAGCTCACACTGGTCTTCCTCACAGCTCTTAAGTTATACAACCAGGTTAGTTAGCATAAGGCAGACATCAATAAGAGCCCGGAGATATTGGAAGTGTGAGAGATGGTATTTTTCTTTAAATCTCAGAGTTTTGACTTGTTTTGCTGTCTCACAGGTACCTATCTCACAGCACGTACCTGCTCAGCTCAGGGAATCTAGACAGTGGCTCAGTGGACCATTTGTAGGTTCCTGCTTTAGAAGAGCTTCTGACTCCACTGATGATATTAACTGGATCTTCCTCAACAGGAGCTCAGACACCTGAATCTCATCTCCATCCTTAACCCAACATGTGCTTGTTTTGGAGCTGAATCCCAGCCCTGGTCATTCAGTGGTACAGCTCAGAGTGTCTGAGCCCTCGGTTAGCACTGGGGCACCAGCTCCCCACTGCTGAGCCTGTGAACACAGCCTTCATGGCTCACTCAGCATAGGCTGCATAACTGCAGGTCTCATTCCTTCTCAGGACACGCCCTCATGCCTAGAAAAGCACTTGCAAAGGTACCTCCATCAACTGCCTTCAGCCCCTTCTCTCAACTTTTCATACCAACAGATGATGGGATAGACAATCTACACCGAGATCTTGGGTGATCATGAAGAAATGCACAGCCTCATTGTTTTCTGTGCTTGGTACCCATTACAACTGAAAGAGCTTAACAGAAATGCTCATTTACCAGTCCACATGTGAACAGCCGACTGCAATAGAAGCTTAGAAGCTTGGCCCATGATTAAGGTTCCTAGAAACTGAAATAGTACAAATAAATAACACCACCATAAGCACATTGTGAGTTCAGATGTCTGTGTCCTTGCTGCGAGAGAATCATTCATATCCAGAGGGGAAATAAGACCCAGAGTGTCTACTCCATGATTTAATGATGTTGCAAGATGCACCATTTCTAAAGGTCACTGGAAAATAAGTGTTCATTTTGGGGGGTGTTGACTGAACAACGTGGAGAAAACAAGTATGTGGACTGGTTCACTACCACAGCTGATTTAGAATGTGGGAAAAGAAAAAAAGGGGAGAACTGAGAAGATACCTCCTACAGGGTGTTGGGTTCAAACTTAAACAGGAGATTCAGGTTGGATATAAGGAAGAAGTTCTTTACTGTGAGGGTGGTGAGGCACTGGCACAGGTTGCCCAGAGAAGTGGTAAATGCTCCATCCCTGGCAGTGTTCAAGGCCAGGCTGGACAGAGCTTTGGGTGACATGGTCTAGTGGGGAGGTGTCCCTGCCCATGGCAGGACATTGGAACTGGATGATCTTGGGGTCCTTTCCAACCCAAACCATTCTATGATTCTATATCCACTCCTTCCTTTTGCCCATCCAACTATCAACATGGGGAATCCAGTAAGAAAACAAAAGTATATTTAAATTTTAAATAGCAAAGGAAAAGGAGGTTATTTTAGTGCATGTATGATCAACTCAAACCAGTTGGTCCTTAACACCATGGAGATAACACTGGAGCAGATGACACAGACTTCTGTACATGACTTGGATGAATATCCATCTAACTACAACATAAGAAAACCACTTCTTGAGTATTTTTGGGACATAGGCTGATAACGTGCCTAAAAAACATCTAATAGCACAAAAAGTGCTGTTAAGCTAAAAAGTAGTTTTGTTACAAACTGATTGTAAGCACTTTCTCCATATAGAAATATGGAGATCTGCAGTAATATGTTCAGAATTGAGAGCCACTGCAGGAATAAGAACAATATTCTCCCATTCCTACAGTTAGCTTGGAGGAACAACCAATTTAAGTATCCCTCAATGGCACTGCATTATATGCAGTTTCAATTAATATAAAATTTGCTAACTCTATTTAGTCTGTGTGGAAAGGAAAAAAACTTAATGTTGTGTCAGCATATATATATATATTCTTAAAGTTGCAGGGAACTTGTACTGAGCAAGCGTGACATTGTTTGGATGGACAGTGTCAGATGTCTTAGAAATAATGGATAGAGAAAAGTCTTCCCCCAAAAGCAAGGAAAATCCTGTCCCAATGGTTCAGAAGACTTGAGGAGGGGTGGAGGAGTGGAGAGGGGAAAACATGGACCTTTTAATGTTATCCAATGGGGAAAAAAAATAATCTTAAAATGGAAGAAGGATTTGGTTGGGAAAGGACCTTAAGATCATCCAGTTCCAACCCCCTGCCATGGGCAGGGACACCTCACACTAGACCATGTCACCCAAGGCTCTATCCAGCCTGGCCTTGAACACTGCCAGGGATGGAGCATTCACCACTTCTCTGGGCAACCTGTGCCAGCACCTCAGCACCCTCACTGTAAAGAACTTCTTTGTATCTAACCTGAACTTCCCTGTTTCAGTTTACACCCATTACATCTTGTCCTGTTGCTACAGTCCCTAATGAAGAGTCCCTCCCCAGCATCCTTATAGGCCCCCTTCAGATACTGGAAGGCTGCTAATATTTTAAAGCCATTAGAAGTACTGTCTTTCTTCATTCCTCTTGAAGGCTGTTGATGAAATGCTTGGAAAGCGGAGACTGTACCAAAAGAAAAAGTCTTACAAATATGTAAACCAGTATCAAGTGTTGTTAATAGGATAAGATTCTCAGCTGGACACAAGGGCCCTCACCCGCACAGGGTCACAAGCCTTTGGATTGCCTCTCTGACATCCTCCTCAGACATGTGAACAGCTCATTAGGAAACATCTGCCACAGAACCATTTCTAGATCATGTTTCCTGGTTACAAGGGCAGAGCTTGCCAGAGGAAATACATGAAAAACCAGCATCAGCTGCCTAGCAGTGTGCTGTCTGCTGCCACACACCACCAGCAGCTGTAGTAATGGAGGCTTTTCATTCCTGCCCCAAACTTATCAATTATTGAGACAAAACCCCAAAGCCAAAGATCCAGTTTGTTAATTTATTGTTGAAAGAGAACGAATGAAGTGCTCAGATTTATCCTGAGTGGTTATCTTAAAGTGAGGTTGCATCTTTCCTGCCCAAGGGTCAGCCCTACAGATACTTTTCTTATTGCAGGGATGACCCTACAGTGTGCCTTGGGTCAGCTACAAAGTTAGCAGGAAAGCAAGACAGAGGCAAATGTCAGTGTTCTTATAATACAGGGCAGAATGGGTTCATCCAAGGTGGAACCAAATCCCTAACATACACAGCACTATTTTGCCCTTATGATGGTGCAATTTGGAGCACTAACTTGCCAAGGCTTTTAAAAAAAAGCAGCTATGGGCTCATTAACTTGAGACATCCTTCCTCAAGGGGAGAATAAACATTTAGTTTTAAACCCCTGTCTCTACCTTCCTCAATAAGCCAACATCTATCCCTCTATAACAAGTGGCAATGTGAGCAACAAAGCCACAAAACCAGCCTTGTGCCCAAAGAAGCGTGCTTTCTGAATAGCAAATGCCTTCTAAACTGCTTCTTCCCTCAAGACTGCAGCACAGGAGGTATCGCTGCAATTGCCAATTCACACAGCCAACAATTAGCTGAGACACTGCCCTAAATATTACAAAACACAAATCATTATTTTCCCTCCAGAATGGTACTGCTTTATGCACAAGCAATAGGGAAATCACACACAAAACTCCTCTTTATGTCCCTGTTCAAAGATGCTGAAAAACTGTGGAAGGTAAAAGTAATTGCTGCCAGACAGGCAGACTTCTCTCAATCGCAACAGGATTAATTAGTTTGGTTCTTAAAGGAGAAATACCAATTTCAGAGACAGTGCAGATAAGAAGTGAAAGAGGTTGTGGTATGTTGCAATGTGTTTCCCAAGTCATCTGTTGCCGCAAAGTATGTTTCTGCACATATTATATCAAAATGAAGAAATCATCGCTTACCTGAGGGCCAATCAGACCATTGATTCCTGGGAATCCTGGTTCTCCCTTTTTACCCTGCATGTTCAACAGAGGAGGAAACGTTAGAAACTATAGCAAAGATTGCTATTGACTTTCCAGAGTCTTCCACCCCAAAACTGGTAAAACACCACAATGTGGGTACACAAAAGACAGAAGCTAGAAGTGAAGGCAGCAGACACCATTTGGATGTGAAACTCCAGTTGTCTTTGATGGGTCTGTATCTCCCAGACTGTGACAATAGCTCTGTTTTATGCATTATAAAAGAAAACAATTAAGAATTCTGGTGCATGGATGAATATAAAAGATTCACAATCTCTAAGCCAAGAAAAAGGAATCCATGAGGCATTTCTAACTAGAGCTGGTATAATCACCAAGGGACAGAGCTCACTGACTCCTCTGCAAGCAAAAGAAGATTCCTACAGAGGAACCAGAGAGCTTCACTGCTGCAAAGGAAGGATAAGCCTGGAGTAAATCATTGAGGTAAGTTCACCCATATGGATGCTGAGGGACCTGTGTTCCCCATGAGTCTGACCTCAAATAGTTCACAGGGAAAAAGTCCTACATGAGAAAAAGAAGAAACAATGGAGTAAGGAAGCATGAAGTGCAGGAGTTAAGGCAGAGGTCGGATTTGCTTCTCAACAGCTGACTTGCTGTGTTACTTCGGACAAGTCATAGATGTTTAATAAACACTGAATCATTAATATGCTTGAGGGTGTTCATAATAGACTAGGAAGGTACAAGAGGACTCATGTAAACATCTAAGAGACAGAGAAGTGATTTTTCTCCCTCATTTCTATTTCTCATCCAAACTGATTTTCTTTTTACAAGGATACTACAATTAAGCATGTTTCCTTGTCACTGGTGATGTGATTGTACATACAGATGAGTAAGAGCTATATACATAATTTTCCCTTTATTTTTCTTTCTTGAAATATGTCCAGAAACAAAGCCTATAAATGACAGCTTCCTGCTG